ATCACACACACACACACAGGCACACTATCATCACAAACAGACACACACAGGCAAACTGTTGTCACAGACATACACATTCACACTATCGTCACACACATACACATTCACACTATCATCACAAACAGACACACAGGCACACTATCATCACACACACACACAGGCACACTATTATCACAAACAGACAAACACATTTACACTATCATCACAAACAGACATACACAGGCACACTATCATCACGAACAGACAAACAGGCACACTATCATCACAAACAGACATTTACACTATCATCAGGCAGACATATTTACACATCATTACAAACAGACAGGCACACTATCATCACAAACAGACAAACATACAATATCATTCAAACAGATCATACACACACTACATGATCACAAACAGATACACAGGCACACTATCATCACAAACAGACATACACAGGCACACTATCATCACACACAGACATACACAGGCACACTATCATCACTGACAACATACACAGGCACACTATCATTGTATTATCACATCACAGGCACACTATCATCACAAACTGACATACAGACACACTATAATCATCACACACAGGCACTATCATCACAAACAGACACACACAGGCACACTATCATCACAAATAGACATACAGGCACACTATCATCACAAACAGACACATACACAGGCACACTATCATCACAAACAGACACACACACATACAGGCATTGTATTATCACACACACAGGCACACTATCATCACAAACAGACATACACAGGCACACTATCATCACAATCACACACACAGGCACACTATCATCACAAACAGACAGGCACACACACACTATCATCACAAACAGACACAGGCACACATAATATTATCACACAGGCACACTATCATCACAAACAGACATACACAGGCACACTATCATCACAAACAGACATACACATTGTATTTTCACAAAATCATCACAAACAGGCACACTATAATCACAAACAGACACACTATATCATCACAAACAGACATACACAGGCACACTATCATCACAAACAGACATACACAGGCACACTATAATCACAAACAGACACACACAGGCACACTATCATCACAAACAGACATACACAGGCACACTATCATCACAAACAGACACATACACACACAGGCACACTATCATCACAAACAGACACACACATTCTCACACTATCATCACAGGCACACTATCATCACAAATAGACATACACAGGCACACTATCATCACAAACAGACACATACACAGGCACACAATCATCACAAACATACACAGTCATTGTATTTTCACACACAGGCACACTATCATCAAAAACAGACATACACAGGCACACTATCATCACAAACAGACAAACAGGCACACTATCATCACAAACAGACAAACACATTTACACTATCATCACAAACAGACAAACATATTTACACTATCATTACAAACAGACAAACATATTTACACTATCACCACAAACAGACAAACATATTTACAATATCATTACAAACAGACATACACAGGCACACTATCATCACAAACAGACACACACTCAACACACTATCATCACAAATCACATACACACACACTATCCATCACATACAGACACACACATCACACACTATCATCACAAATAGACACATACACACACTATCATCACATACAGACACACACGGGCACACATCATCAGACACACAGACCATCACACATTGACATAATCACCATCACATACAGACACACTCTCATCACATACAGACACACACAGGCACACTATCACATACAGACACACTCACACACATACTCATCATCACAAACAGACATCACATACAGACACACTATCATCACATACAGACATACACACATCACACTATCATCACATCACAGACACACACACACCCATCACATCACAGACACACTCTCATCACATACAGACACACTCTCATCACATACAGACACACACTCATCATCAAAGACACACTCATCACACAGACACACTCATCATCACATACAGACACATACACACACTCCTCATCACATACAGACACACTCTCATCACATACAGACACACAAACACATACATACACTATCATCACATACAGACACATACATCACATACATCACCACACCCATCACATACAGACACACTCTCATCACATACAGACACACTCTCATCACATACAGACACACACCCATCACATACAGACACACCTCATCATCACATACAGACACATCTCATCACATACAGACACACAATAATCACATACAGACACATCACAGGCAGACACACCCATCACATACAGACACACACTCATCACATACAGACACACTCTCATCACATACACACACACACTCTCATCACATACAGACTCTCATCACATACAGACACACTCTCATCACATACAGACACACACCCATCACATACAGACACACTCTCATCACATACAGACACACACTCATCACATACAGACACACACTCATCACATACAGACACACAATCCATCACATACAGACACACACCATCACATACAGACACACTCTCATCACATACAGACACACTCTCATCACATACAGACACACAACCATCACATACAGACACACAACCATCACATACAGACACACAAACCATCACACATTGACACACTCTCATCACATACAGACACACACTCATCACATACAGACACACAACCATCACATACAGACACACAACCATCACATACAGACACACACCATCACATACAGACACACAACCATCACACACAGACACACTCATCACATACAGACACACAACCATCACATACAGACACACTCTCATCACATACAGACACACAACTCATCACATACAGACACACAACCATCACATACAGACACACAACCATCACATACAGACACACAACCATCACATACAGACACACTCTCATCACATACAAACACACTCTCATCACTCATCACATACAGGACACAACCATCACATACAGACACACTCTCATCACATACAGACACACAACCATCACACATTGACACAAAACCATCACACATTGACACACTCTCATCAAATACAGACACACAACCATCACACGCAGACACAAAACCATCATACATTGACACACTCTCGTCACATACAAACACACACTCATCACATACAGAGACACAACCATCACACATTGACACAAAACCATCACACATTGACACACTCTCATCAAATACAGACACACAACCATCACACACAGACACAAAACCATCATACATTGACACACTCTCATCACATACAGACACATTCTCATCAAATACATTGACACACTCTCATCACATACAGACACACTCTCATCACATACAGACACACTCTCATCACATACAGACACACTCTCATCACATACAGACACACAACCATCACATACAGACACACAACCATCACATACAGACACACAACCATCACATACAGACACACAACCATCACATACAGACACACAACCATCACAAACAGGCATTGACACACTCTCATCACATACAGACACACTATCATCAAAACAGACATCACATACAGACACACTCTCATCACATACAGACACACATATCACATACAGACACACTATCATCACAAACAGACATACACAGGCTCTGTATTATCACACACAGGAACACTTTCATCACAAACAGACATACACAAGCACACTATCATCACAAACAGACAAACACATTTACACTATCATCACAAACAGACAAACATATTTACACTATCATTACAAACAAACAAACATATTTACACTATCATCACAAACAGACAAACATATTTACACTATCATTACAAACAGACATACACAGGCACACTATCATCACAAACAGACATACACAGGCACACTATTATCACAAACAGACATACACAGGGGACACTATCATCACAAACAGACATACACAGGCACACTATCATCACAAACAGACATAAACAGACACACTATCATCACAAACAGACACACTATCATCACAAACAGACATACACATTCACACTATCATCACAAACAGACACACTATCATCACAAACAGACATACACAGGCACACTATCATCACAAAAAGACATACACAGGCACACTATCATCACAAACAGACATACACAGGCTCTGTATCATCACACACAGGCACACTATCATCACAAACAGACATACACAGGCTCTGTATTATCACAAACAGACATACATACAGACTCACAGGTATGATGAACAGGAACACTTTTTATGGATAAACAACTTGTTTATTGCAGTGGATGCGACGTTCCGGTGTAGATCCTATCACCGTCAGCAAGAAAATGGTGATGATGATCATGGCAATTCCTTGATAACGGTGTAAGGATCTACACTAAAGTGTTCCTCGTAATGAATATACCTGTACGATACAGACAATGAACAGACTGTATTACCGTATACAACTGCCTATATAGTTCTATAGTCAGCAAAACACCAGCATGGCATATGAAGTATGAAATTACATGACATGAAATTAACTTCTGACAAGACATCACAGAAGCACTGCCTGACAGGTGAAATGAAAAACATTTTGACCAGATATTAACATTAATGTGTCTGGGGTACCTGCAGCACAAACAGAGAGTACACATACCATGGTGACTTTTATTGATATGTAGGGTTTGTTGAAAATGTAAACTTGTTATCGTAAGATAAGAACGTTTATGAAGCAGATGTAATTTTCTGCAGTTAACATTCTGTTATGGAAGAAAAAAACTCGGATCGAACTTCTACACAGGCTTTAATAAACTACACAGAAGAGAGGGTAATTTGTCTTGTACATTCCATACTTTCTACTATACCAAAGGTTAACGGTTATCTCTGACAGTTTCTTTGGGATTAATATTTCAGAGTATGTTATCAGTTTATCTCGTCTATTCACAAATAAAATCAGTTGCCTCCATTGTGCAACATAACCGAGCATGTGACTTTAAATATCCCAGTTATCTTCGTATCTCAGATATCCCGGGCTCCATTCATCCTCCAGCCTTTGAGGGACGTGGATCTATAGCAATTTTTGCTGACTTTGCCACAGTTATGGATTGAAAGCTTGTACATTTACTAGCATGTATTAGCTGGCCAATGATTATTTGAAATTTACGCGACTCGGCGAGGTTTGGACACCAGCTGACGACACATTGATTCTACTTTTACTTTCTATTTCCAAGAAGCGGCGATCATTTCACAACCAGCAAGGCGGAGTAGCACCCTTATTTGGATATTACCGTTTGCTTCTACTTGATACGTAGATAGGAATTACAACAACGCGCAACAGTTTGTCTGACCAGGTAAGTCGCAGCTTTCTCTTCACACCGCCATTTTCTCCCGATGTGTGCCGTGTTTGTAAATATCGATAGGTCAGCAGAAACCTCGTATTCACTGAGCGGTTAACCCTTGGTGTGTTGAAGCTGTTCAGTATGATATGTCAGCTAGTTTAATACGAGCGCTACGTCGGGTGTGGAGCTATAAAATATGTACAGTAGGCATCTCACAATTGGATAGCTTGTACCTATTATGTACGCCACGAAATGTGACGGTAATTCGATAATGTTGAAGGTATAAGTCCGTGTCCGTGCACACAGACAAATAGACGGACACAGACAGTGACATTATACACAATAACCATTAGAGAGAATATGTATTCTCTCTCTCTCTCTAATATATTTATATATATATATATATATGTGTGTGTGTGTGTGTGTGTGTGTGTGTGTGTGTGTGTGTGTGTGTGTGTGTGTGTGTGCATCTGTGAATGTCTATAGACACACAAGCAGCACACAGACACTCTCATATATAAGTTCTCTCTCACTGTAACTGTCCATTTCGTCAGTTTCAAACAACAATATTAATTCAGTATTGTGTAGGCCTAAGCATCATGTTTTTCCAATGTTGGTCACATTGACCACTACTCAGACCTGGTGGCGTGTGTTGGCATGGACATGTGTGACGCCATACCTAGCAAAGTGACCGTTCAACAGTGTCACTGGGTGAATACAGTGCCCTCATATACAGGTTGACATAGAAATAACATGTATCCGTGTGTAGAACTAACTGTAGTACGTATTTGTGCAAAGACGAGAGCTGATGCCTCTGTGGAACGTTCTGGATGTTCTTAAATATATTCCTGATGGTAAAGGACGCGACTGTCTACAGAGGAAGGTCTTTATGGCAATGCCTTCTATTACGAGCTGATATTCCCCGGTTGTGATCTAGAAATTTCATCTTCTTCATCAGTCCGTCTAAAGTACTGGCCTCTATTCCTCTGCCTTGTATTACTGCAGTGAGTGAGTGAGTGAGAGACTGAGTGAGTGAGTGGCTAGAGTTTCCCTCTTCCAGCGATAACACGGCTGGGGACACCGCACTTATCACATTGTATCCATTAGGGTATTCGAACCCGGGTCTTCGGTGTGATGAGCAAACGCTTTAACAACCAGGCTACCCTACCGCCTCCACATGACTATTGAACAAAGTACATGTACCTATGGCTCAATTCTGTGTCAGCAGTTTACCTCAATGCACAATAAAACTGCGTGAAACAGTGTCGAAACTGCTCTTGACCTATTTCAGTCGATGATTAGATTTAAAAAGATAACGCATGTCGCCAGTAGGGGCAAATAGTTCCTTATAATCTCATCAAAACAAAATTTGGTTAGGGTTTTTTATTCTCTGAATATCGCCGCCTGTGGTAAACTGAGCTAGTGAATATGTATGGACTGGGATATAATCGTGTCATTTGTTAGCTTGAGATTTGAACTAAACCTGTGAGACACCATATTGCCCCCTTCTAACCTGATACACAGCCCTCGACGTACCAGCCTCCATCTTGATAAATATGGCACTTATCATTACACCGTGTTTGGTTGTCAGGGCCATATTATAATGGTCAGTCATTACCGAAAAGCCACTGCTATATTTGCTTTCCATAATAAGAAAAAAAGGTTGGTTTTAGACATTCGCTTATCTTTCAGCATTAGCTGTGATATTGTTTACTCAATCAGATTGAAACCACAGGGCATTTTATCGTGACTGGCTGGTTATTGATCGTAATATCAAACGCTTATACGTTATATAAGCTGAATTACACTTTTCCCAGATTATATATTGACTTAATGCCCCATAGCACGGTGTTAGTGTATTTACTATGGAGAGGGTAGGGTAGGTTGTCCGCAGCCAAGGTATATCTCCATCTCCGCACTAAACAAAGACTGTTTAGTCTGTTTTGATTTGAATGCATCCCATGTTTTGACCCGATCTAGTTTTGTATGTCCACGCCTGTGCTTTGTCTGACCTGGTTCTGTGTGTACCTCGACCTCACCTCCTCGGATATGTCCTGTGACATTTACAGGCTTAAGTGACCATGTCTGTACTCCGTGTCCCAATGGATTGAGCGTGTGATGACGTGGTACCATGTGTCCGTGCCTTGAACAAAACTAAGCTAACCTGATCCCCTGTGTCCGTGCATTGACCTAACCTGGTCCTTTGTGTCCGTACCTTGAGCTAACCTGGCCCTCTGTGTCCGTACCTTGAGCTAACCTGGCCCTCTGTGTCCGTACCTTGAGCTAACCTGGTCCTTTGCATCCGTACCTTGAGCTAACCTGGCCCTCTGTGTCCGTACCTTGAGCTAACCTGGTCCTTCTGTGTCCGTACCTTGAGCTAACCTGGTCCTTTGCATCCGTACCTTGAGCTAACCTGGTCCTCTGTGTCCGTACCTTGAGCTAACCTGGCCCTCTGTGTCCGTACCTTGAGCTAACCTGGTCCTTTGCATCCGTACCTTGAGCTAACCTGGCCCTCTGTGTCCGTACCTTGAGCTAACCTGGTCCTTTGCATCCGTACCTTGAGCTAACCTGGCCCTCTGTGTCCGTACCTTGAGCTAACCTGGTCCTTTGCATCCGTACCTTGAGCTAACCTGGCCCTCTGTGTCCGTACCTTGAGCTAACCTGGTCCTTTGCATCCGTACCTTGAGTTAACCTGGTCCTCTGTGTCCGTACCTTGAGCTAACCTGGCCTTCTGTGTCCGTACCTTGAGCTAACCTGGTCCTTTGCATCCGTACCTTGAGCTAACCTGGCCCTCTGTGTCCGTACCTTGAGCTAACCTGGTCCTTTGCATCCGTACCTTGAGCTAACCTGGCCCTCTGTGTCCGTACCTTGAGCTAACCTGGCCCTCTGTGTCCGTACCTTGAGCTAACCTGGTCCTTTGCATCCGTACCTTGAACTAACCTGGCCCTCTGTGTCCGTACCTTGAGCTAACCTGGCCCTCTGTGTCCGTACCTTGAGCTAACCTGGTCCTTTGCATCCGTACCTTGAACTAACCTGGCCCTCTGTGTCCGTACCTTGAACTAACCTGGTCCTTTGCATCCGTACCTTGAGCTAACCTGGCCCTCTGTGTCCGTACCTTGAGCTAACCTGGCCCTCTGTGTCCGTACCTTGAGCTAACCTGGTCCTTTGCATCCGTACCTTGAGCTAACCTGGTCCTTTGCATCCGTACCTTGAACTAACCTGGCCCTCTGTGTCCGTACCTTGAGCTAACCTGGTCCTTTGCATCCGTACCTTGAGCTAACCTGGCCTTCTGTGTCCGTACCTTGAGCTAACCTGGTCCTTTGCATCCGTACCTTGAACTAACCTGGCCCTCTGTGTCCGTACCTTGAGCTAACCTGGCCCTCTGTGTCCGTACCTTGAGCTAACCTGGTCCTTTGCATCCGTACCTTGAGCTAACCTGGCCCTCTGTGTCCGTACCTTGAGAACTAACCTGGCCCTCTGTGTCCGTACCTTGAGCTAACCTGGTCCTTTGCATCCGTACCTTGAGCTAACCTGGCCCTCTGTGTCCGTACCTTGAGCTAACCTGGTCCTCTGCATCCGTACCTTGAGCTAACCTGGCCCTCTGTGTCCGTACCTTGAGCTAACCTGGCCCTCTGTGTCCGTACCTTGAGCTAACCTGGTCCTTTGCATCCGTACCTTGAGCTAACCTGGTCCTTTGCATCCGTACCTTGAACTAACCTGGCCCTCTGTGTCCGTACCTTGAGCTAACCTGGTCCTCTGCATCCGTACCTTGAACTAACCTGGTCCTTGCATCCGTACCTTGAGCTAACCTGGCCCTCTGTGTCCGTACCTTGAGCTAACCTGGTCCTCTGCATCCGTACCTTGAGCTAACCTGGTCCTGCATCCGTACCTTGAACTAACCTGGCCCTCTGTGTCCGTACCTTGAGCTAACCTGGTCCTTTGCATCCGTACCTTGAGCTAACCTGGCCCTCTGTGTCCGTACCTTGAGCTAACCTGGTCCTTTGCATCCGTACCTTGAGCTAACCTGGCCCTCTGTGTCCGTACCTTGAGCTAACCTGGTCCTTTGCATCCGTACCTTGAGTTAACCTGGTCCTTTGCATCCGTACCTTGAACTAACCTGGCCCTCTGTGTCCGTACCTTGAGCTAACCTGGCCCTCTGTGTCCGTACCTTGAGCTAACCTGGTCCTTTGCATCCGTACCTTGAGCTAACCTGGTCCTCTGTGTCCGTACCTTGAGCTAACCTGGTCCTTGTCATCCGTACCTTGAGCTAACCTGGCCCTCTGTGTCCGTACCTTGAGCTAACCTGGTCCTTTGCATCCGTACCTTGAGCTAACCTGGCCCTCTGTGTCCGTACCTTGAGCTAACCTGGTCCTTTGCATCCGTACCTTGAGCTAACCTGGCCCTCTGTGTCCGTACCTTGAGCTAACCTGGCCCTCTGTGTCCGTACCTTGAGCTAACCTGGTCCTTTGCATCCGTACCTTGAGCTAACCTGGCCCTCTGTGTCCGTACCTTGAGCTAACCTGGTCCTCTGTGTCCGTACCTTGAGCTAACCTGGTCCTTTGCATCCGTACCTTGAACTAACCTGGCCCTCTGTGTCCGTACCTTGAGCTAACCTGGCCCTCTGTGTCCGTACCTTGAGCTAACCTGGTCCTTTGCATCCGTACCTTGAGCTAACCTGGCCCTCTGTGTCCGTACCTTGAGCTAACCTGGCCTTCTGTGTCCGTACCTTGAGCTAACCTTTGTCCGTACCTTGAGCTAACCTGGTCCTTTGCATCCGTACCTTGAGCTAACCTGGTCCTCTGTGTCCGTACCTTGAGCTAACCTGGTCCTCTGTGTCCGTACCTTGAGCTAACCTGGTCCTCTGTGTCCGTACCTTGAGCTAACCTGGCCCTCTGTGTCCGTACCTTGAGCTAACCTGGTCCTTTGCATCCGTACCTTGAGCTAACCTGGCCCTCTGTGTCCGTACCTTGAGCTAACCTGGTCCTTTGCATCCGTACCTTGAGCTAACCTGG